GTTTCTATTTAAAAAATTTTTAAATTTAAAAATTAGTAATAAATATTTGTATGTGTAATTAACTTACCATAACAAATTAAATGGATTAAATTTTTCACCCAAGGACATCAAGGTTATTTCAAATCATTTCAATAAACTTGTTAACCTTTAATCATATTCACCATTTCTTACTCAATTTTATTTCAAATTTGACTCAGAAATTAACCCTCCATTGATTCTCATGGAACACTTTTCCAATATACTAATTAAAATCATTTCCTTCGATGGTTGTATTTAGGAGGTTTTCAAGAAGATTATCGAAATGAATCTGTTTCCATTTCACTTTATCTAAGTTTCCAGAACAAAGGATTTTTATATCTTTAGTTACTTCGAATTTTCCGTAATATTCCGAGACGAATTTCTTGGTTTTTGCATAAATTGATCCGGGGAATAAAAATCCTTCTTAAATAACTTGTCCAATGTAAACGGAGTTCGCTTCGGCGCATCTTTTGGGATTTCTCCTTTATAATTACGCCAATAAATATCCCAATTTTCGCTTTTTATTGATTTAATTAGGATTATTATTATGATTGTTGAGATTAAGCGATTTTTAGGTTAAAAACTAATTTGACATAAAACGATGTGGCGCCATCTCTTTTCCAATGGACTAAGGTTAGTGATAAATTGTAAAAATATTAATTCTTATTTATTTACTTAAATTTATAATAAAAACAAGAAATTATAATACACATACACAGCTTTATGTTTGTTATTAATTAATTAAGTATTTGGGTGATCCTCATCTTGCGGGCTATAAACCCTGAATCCTTTGATTATACAGATTGTCTCGAAAACTAGCGGAGATAGAGAGACGATTAAATAGGGGAAGAATTGCAGTTTCATGAACTCAAATTAATAAGCTTTTTGTTTTTAGGATAATAAAGCAGTCTAACTGCCAAAAATTATCTTCTCACACAGAATGGGGGTGTTTAATTAGTTGCATACCTTAAAGGATTATTTTATTTTATGTAACGTGTGTTGCATAACTTCAAGGAATAAAACGCAATAATAAATTGATTTATTATATTAAAATTAATTTAATTTATAAACGAGTATTAATAAAGCGAAATTAATTAAATAAATTAAAAGATTTAAATGTTACACAAAAAAAATACTGATAATTTGTTAACAATTTCAATTCAATCACTTCCTCATTTCAGTGCGAAAATGGCACTTCTAAACTAATTCTTAACAAAAAAAAATAATGTTTATATACAAATCTATTTTCTAATTCTTATTCGCTAAATAAATCATGTCTTAAGGTAACAGTCTCGGATTGAATCTTCCCATATGAAGAATAATCCCCGTTGGGTTGTGTCGGACGAAGAACAAAAATGGTCGATCAAATCTCAGTCTTGGGGCGTCCGGGAGACGAGCTTGTCGTGGTCTTAAAGGTAAAGGTAAAGTTAATAAATCAGGATCGTGTAGGGGGTCATCAAAAGATCTTTGATAATCGCGCGGTTCATCACCAAAACTTTTCTCTTCCATCGTAAACACAGATTCGGATAAATAATACCCGAGTTTTCTCGATCTCCTCGAAGGCCGACGCGAAGTTGCGGGATAAATCTCAGTGTGATGATCATCCCCAATCAAATTTTCCCCACAAGTCGTAAACGTATTCAATTGCAAAACATCAGAAAGATGTAACTCGTGAGCTTGCCCATTCAACCCCCTTAAATCAGCTTTACCAAAACTAAACAAACCTTTTAACCCCATTCTTTGAAACGCCACCGTTGAATTAATAATACTTTTATGCATAAACCTAGGGATTTGTAGTTCTAATCCAGGTCGTGGAATTAAATTCCTTTAAACTCCTCCCTCCCATTTCTGAGAGTTGCTTTTCTAAGCGTAAAAGACCATCGCCTGGGGCTGCTATTCCTTGTTGACCGGGGATTACGAAGATTGTACCAATTGTTTGGTCGGGACCTCCGACTGCTGCTGCTGTTGCGTCTAATTGGGGGTCATAACCGGCTAAAAATCCTGAACGATAAGCTACGGCTGGGGTTGGAACCAATTTTCTTTGGCGAATTGATGGTAAAACGACGAAGTGGAGTTCGCCATCTCTTCCTTCAGTTGATGCTTGAGAACAATCAGTCTAAAATATTGAGAATTAAAAGATAGTGTAAGTGGGTTATTTAGAAGGAGGAGACGTTTTCAATTTGATTTAGTTTGATATCAAACTAAACAAAAAGAACAACTTTTATTCTAAAAGCAATTTTGTAACATGCTCATTTTTCTCAATATCTATGCGTCTGGGAGCAAAAGTGCAAGAGAGCAATATTGTTAACCATAAAGTTTTGTACAACTTTTGTTCTAAAAGTTTTTTTGTGACATGCTCAGATTCCCCAGTGTTACCATCAAGAACTTGAAAAAACGAATTCGTGAAATTTTCATATTTTCATATTTTTCTCGATATCCATGCGTTTGAGAGCAAACCTGCAAGAGAGCAATACTGTTAAGCATAAAATTTTGTACAACTTTTGTTCTAAAAGTTTCTTTGTAACATGCTCAGATTCCCCAGTGTTACGATCAACTACTTGAAACAACAACGAATTCATCAAATTTTCATATTTTTCTCGATATCCCTGCGTCTGGGAGCAAAAGTGCAAGAGAGCAATATTGTTAACCATAAAATTTCGTACAACTTTTGTTCTAAAAGTATCTTTGTAACATGCTCAGATTCCCCAGTGTTACCATCAACATCTTGAAACAACAACGAATTCCTCAAATTTTCATATTTTCGTACTTTTCTCAATATCCATGTATCTGGGAGCAAACGTGCAAGAGAGCAATATTGTTAACCATAAAATTTCGTACAACTTTTGTTCTAAAAGTTTCTTTGTAACATGCTCAAATTCTTCTGTGTTACAATCAAATACTTGAAACAACAACGAATTCATCAAAATTTCATATTTTTCTCGATATCCATGCATTTGAGAGCAAACGTGCAAGAGAGCAATATTGTTAACCATAAAATTTTGTACAACTTTTGTTCTAAAAGTTTCTTTGTAACATGCTCAGATTCCCCAGTGTTACCATCAATAACTTGAAAAACAACGAATTCCTCAAATTTTCATATTTTTCTCAATAATCATAAAATTTTGGTACCAAAATATTGTTATTTCTTATTGTAGCGTGTTTTTACAGCCTTATAAAGATGCGATGAAGAGTGGTGTTGTTCCAAAAATTCCTTAAAATTAATTTTCTTGTTTAAGCGAATTTGTTTAGATTTATACTGGGTGATTCATTAGCTCACCATCAAACTTTGACATATGATAGCTAATCTAATTACAAAAAAAAAGTTAATGAACATATGTCCTATTTCAATTATTTACAAAATTATAACACTTTAAAGTTTTAATTTTTATATCATAATTAACTGCTAAATTTTTTTTAAAATACATAAATATTAGTAAATTGTTGTTAAATATTCCACCTCAAACGTTGATGCTGAAACGTTGTTGAAATTTTGCTTGGTCCAACCGCATGCGGATTTTGTAATGCCCAGATATGTTCATTATGATAATTATTTATACCATCTCGTGTAAAACATGATTCATCTATCCAGACAACATTTAAAATGAAGTCATTATTTTGGACATGTTGTTGCAATAACCATTCACGAAATGAGAACCGTTGCTGATTATCTCCTGGCTGTAGAACTTGCACATTCTGTTTACGATACGGATGAAGGACTTCGCGGTTCAATACGCACCATGAACAATTTTGACTTACATGTATGTTGTGTGCCATCCTTCGAATGCTGTTATTACAGCTTCTTCGTCCTCTACATTAACTACATGCGGTCGAATAGCTAGCAGGATTATCTGTTTCTCAAAGTCTTCTGAAAGAATCACTAAAAACTGAATATTATGGCAAATGACGCTGTGGAAATCTTTCTTGATATTCTCGACCATTTCCATTGGAAAAACCATACACGAAAATTATATCAGCATACTCTTCAGTGCTATAAGCGTACATTTTTGACAACTTTGTTTTTGTTGAATGTTTGATTTTACTGACTATTAATAAATTCGCTGCAGAAAACTTTAAAGTGTTATAATTACGTAAATAATTGACATAGGACATATGTTCATTATCTTTTTTTTTTTGTAATTGGATTAGCTATTATATGTCAAAGTTTGATGGTGAGCTAATAAATCACCCTGTATAAACATAAATGTTCTTTTTATTTCAGTTAATAATTAATGAATTTCTTTTAGATTGTATAAAGGAAAATTAAATTTTCTTTATTATTTTGTAAATACTTTTTTATTTAATCCTAATATTATTCAAATTTTCATATTTTCGTATTTTTCTCGATATCCATGCGTTTGAAAGCAAACGTGCAAGAGAGCAATACTGTTAACCATAAAATTTTGTACAACTTTTGTTCTAAAAGTATCTTTGTAACATGCTCAGATTCCCCAGTGTTATCATCAATAAATTGAAAAAACAACGAATTCCTCAAATTTTCATATTTTCGTATTTTTCTCAATATCCATGTATCTGGGAGCAAAAGTGCAAGAGAGCAATATTGTTAACCATAAAATTTCGTACAACTTTTGTTCTAAAAGTTTCTTTGTAACATGCTCAGATTCCCCAGTGTTACCATCAAGAACTTGAAAAAACGAATTCGTGAAATTTTCATATTTTCGTATTTTTCCCAATATCCATGTGTCTGGGAGCAAAAGTGCAAGAGAGCAATATTGTTAACCATAAAATTTTGTACAACTTTTGTTCTAAAAGTTTCGTTGTAACATGCTCAGATTCCCCAGTGTTACCATCAATAATTTGAAAAACAACGAATTCCTCAAATTTTCATATTTTTCTCAATATCCATTGATACTGATTTGATTTGATATCGTTTGATGGTGAGCTAATAAATCACCCTGTATAAATATAAATTTTCTTTTAGGAATTTCTTTTAGATTATATAAAGGAAAATTAAATTTTCTTTATTATTTTGTAAACACTTTTTTATTTAATCCTAATATTATTCAATTCCAGACTACTAATTAAATTCGGGAATATCATCGAAAGAATACCCAGGCACTTCTTTATAAGCGTAATAAGCAATCCTAACATGATAAGCCCCAGGGATAAACATTAAAATCCCCAAAATAATCATTGGCCACATCCTATCCGAATATTTAACATCAATATGACCGCTTATAACCAACGAGCCAAGAATCAACAACAAACTCCCCATAATCAATAACATCGTAGCCAAGAAAATTGATTTCCACGGAATTTTTTGCGGAGGATGCACAAATTGGGCGTCGACAAATCCATTATCGGTTGCGGTTAATTTGGTGTAATCGACGTGGTCGAAATCTTTCCCGCGACGGCGCGACATCTTAATATCATCTAAATATTCTAAAAAAAATTAATAATTTGTTTATTAATTTTACTTTATTTTATTTATTTATTTCGACATAACCTGAAATGGAATGTAACGACATTGCCGGCAAAAAAGATAACTGATGCAAATAATTCTCGACGCTTTCCGATAGATGGCGCACATTTTCAGTGTCAAAACTCATTTTTTTGGGGGCGATCCAAATAAAACGCTTTTAAGGGTGTTGAGATTCACTTTGATTTATATTTTTAATAAGAAACGATTATTAAGACACTTTAATCACTTTGTATTGCTTTAATCCGATTTTTAAGGGCACTTTATTAAGATTTTTTGGGGGTGGATTTTCGTCAGCTGCGAGCTTTCGATCGATTTTCGTTATGCGCCGTGTTCGTTATATTCTTTAGGTATTGCGCATTATTTAAATTAAAATCAAAAATTAATTTTATATATATTATAAGTATAAACAATAAAAAAATATATATAAAATTTTTTGTTGTACTCAAAAAATTAATTAATTCAAATTTTTTTTTTAAATTTAGATCAATGGGACGTCGCGACGCCTTGGCCGGGTACTGCGCAATCTGGCACTGCGCCGGACGTTTGAATACCGCTGAACAACGAAGGGGTTGCTGCAGTACAAGGGAAAAGCTTGGGGGATGCAGGTTTCTCCGCACCCTGTCACTCGATCAATGTGCTTTCCACCGAACCAGTCGTGAATCTAATTCTTTCTCAAATACAAGGAAATACTCACAGTTAGGACAAAAAGTTTCATTCCAAAGTTTACAACGAAATCGATCAAAAAATCTTCATCACCCCATAAGATTACGCATAAAGTTTTTGCCTTCTCAAGATTCAAGCATCTTCAAGTACTTAAAAAAAAAGAAGAGTGTGTTTAAGTTCACGTGGCTGCGTTAATTCATCCCCCAGCTCGTTTCCCACGAGGTAAGAATAAAATAAAACTTTAACTTTTTCGTTAAAAAAAATTAATTTGTTGTAAATAAATCGGTTTGATCGTCGCCGTTTTATCCCTGACCTTTACATTTGAATAACAACTGTTTCGCATGCAAGAGAACCTTTGTTGGCGACACGAGGGGGTGATATGGGGGTTTGATGCGGCGAAGCCGATTTTAGCAAAGGTCGTTTTGCCAATGAAAATTGTTGTTGCGGCGCCGGGGGTCGACCGGAAATCATTTGAATTCAACACGATTTACTAAATTCTATTTTAAAACTTTTCCAAGTAAATATTTAAGAGTCATTTCTGTTTGGAACTGGTTTCTTTTTTCTATTTGGGCAAAATCTCTGTTGCAAGTGAGATAAGAATGGCCACTTACCAGAAACTTTTCTCAACTTTTCATTAGAAACTAGGTAAATGAGCAACATTTACATTCTTGTTTTGCCCAATACAGTTATCACTCCATATAACCAACTTTTCTTTTAGGGAAATTTGGATGGGAGAAGACTTTTAGCAGATTTCATTTCCACCCCTCCCAGTAAGAGACTCATCCCATAGAGTCCCATAATGAGTCAAAGTCGAAATTAATTGAAATAGTATTATCTTCACTATCAATATTTGTGAGTTTGCATTGGTGCAGTTCCAGTTTTTGTGCCTCTTGTTTCCTCTCTGGGTTGGTCGACGGAATAGATTAAGATCACCTTTGAACATGTATTTGGCAAACGTGCAAGAGAGCAATATTGTTAACCATAAAATTTCGTACAACTTTTGTTTCAAAAGTTTCTTTGTAACATGCTTACATTCCCCAGTGTTACCATCAATAACTTGAAAAAACAACGAATTCCTCAAATTTTCATATTTTTGTATTTTTCTCAATATCCATGCGTCGGGGAGCAAAAGTGCAAGAGAGCAATATTGTTAACCATAAAATTTCGTACAACTTTTGTTCTAAAAGTATCTTTGTAACATGCTCAGATTCCCCAGTGTTACCATCAACAAGTTGAAAAAACAACGAATTCCTCAAATTTTCATATTTTCGTACTTTTCTCAATATCCATGTATCTGGGAGCAAAAGTGCAAGAGAGCAATATTGTTAATCATAAAATTTTGTACAACTTTTGTTCTAAAAGTATCTTTGTAACATGCTCAGATTCCCCAGTGTTACCATCAACAAGTTGAAAAAACAACGAATTCCTCAAATTTTCATATTTTCGTACTTTTCTCAATATCCATGTATCTGGGAGCAAAAGTGCAAGAGAGCAATATTGTTAATCATAAAATTTTGTACAACTTTTGTTCTAAAAGTATCTTTGTAACATGCTCAGATTCCCCAGTGTTACCATCAACAAGTTGAAAAAACAACGAATTCCTCAAATTTTCATATTTTCGTACTTTTCTCAATATCCATGTATCTGGGAGCAAAAGTGCAAGAGAGCAATATTGTTAATCATAAAATTTTGTACAACTTTTGTTCTAAAAGTATCTTTGTAACATGCTCAGATTCCCCAGTGTTACCATCAACAAGTTGAAAAAACAACGAATTCCTCAAATTTTCATATTTTCGTACTTTTCTCAATATCCATGTATCTGGGAGCAAAAGTGCAAGAGAGCAATATTGTTAATCATAAAATTTTGTACAACTTTTGTTCTAAAAGTATCTTTGTAACATGCTCAGATTCCCCAGTGTTACCATCAACAAGTTGAAAAAACAACGAATTCCTCAAATTTTCATATTTTCGTACTTTTCTCAATATCCATGTATCTGGGAGCAAAAGTGCAAGAGAGCAATATTGTTAATCATAAAATTTTGTACAACTTTTGTTCTAAAAGTATCTTTGTAACATGCTCAGATTCCCCAGTGTTACCATCAACAAGTTGAAAAAACAACGAATTCCTCAAATTTTCATATTTTCGTACTTTTCTCAATATCCATGTATCTGGGAGCAAAAGTGCAAGAGAGCAATATTGTTAATCATAAAATTTTGTACAACTTTTGTTCTAAAAGTATCTTTGTAACATGCTCAGATTCCCCAGTGTTACCATCAACAAGTTGAAAAAACAACGAATTCCTCAAATTTTCATATTTTCGTACTTTTCTCAATATCCATGTATCTGGGAGCAAAAGTGCAAGAGAGCAATATTGTTAATCATAAAATTTTGTACAACTTTTGTTCTAAAAGTATCTTTGTAACATGCTCAGATTCCCCAGTGTTACCATCAACAAGTTGAAAAAACAACGAATTCCTCAAATTTTCATATTTTCGTACTTTTCTCAATATCCATGTATCTGGGAGCAAAAGTGCAAGAGAGCAATATTGTTAATCATAAAATTTTGTACAACTTTTGTTCTAAAAGTATCTTTGTAACATGCTCAGATTCCCCAGTGTTACCATCAACAAGTTGAAAAAACAACGAATTCCTCAAATTTTCATATTTTCGTACTTTTCTCAATATCCATGTATCTGGGAGCAAAAGTGCAAGAGAGCAATATTGTTAATCATAAAATTTTGTACAACTTTTGTTCTAAAAGTATCTTTGTAACATGCTCAGATTCCCCAGTGTTACCATCAACAAGTTGAAAAAACAACGAATTCCTCAAATTTTCATATTTTCGTACTTTTCTCAATATCCATGTATCTGGGAGCAAAAGTGCAAGAGAGCAATATTGTTAATCATAAAATTTTGTACAACTTTTGTTCTAAAAGTATCTTTGTAACATGCTCAGATTCCCCAGTGTTACCATCAACAAGTTGAAAAAACAACGAATTCCTCAAATTTTCATATTTTCGTACTTTTCTCAATATCCATGTATCTGGGAGCAAAAGTGCAAGAGAGCAATATTGTTAATCATAAAATTTTGTACAACTTTTGTTCTAAAAGTATCTTTGTAACATGCTCAGATTCACCAGTGTTACGATCAACTACTTGAAACAACAACGAATTCATCAAATTTTCATATTTTTCTCGATATCCATGCGTTTGAGAGCAAACGTGCAAGAGAGCAATATTGTTAACCATAAAATTTTGTACAACTTTTGTTCTAAAAGGTTCTTTGTAACATGCTCGGATTCTCCAGTATTACTATCAAGAACTTGAAAAAACGAATTCGTGAAATTTTTATATTTTCGTATTTTTCTCAATATCCATGCGTCTGGGAGCAAAAGTGCAAGAGAGCAATATTGTTAACCATAAAATTTCGTACAACTTTTGTTCTAAAAGTATCTTTGTAAGATGCTCAGATTCCCCAGTGTTATCATCAATAACTTGAAAAAACAACGAATTCCTCAAATTTTCATATTTTCGTAGTTTTCTCAATATCCATGCATCTGGGAGCAAAAGTGCAAGAGAGCAATATTGTTAACCATAAAATTTCGTACAACTTGTGTTCTAAAAGTATCTTTGTAACATGCTCAGATTCCCCAGTGTTACGATCAACTACTTGAAACAACAACGAATTCATCAAATTTTCATATTTTTCTCGATATCCATACGTTTGAGAGCAAACGTGCAAGAGAGCAATGTTGTTAACCATAAAATTTTATACAACTTTTGTTCTAAAAGTTTCTTTGTAACATGCTCGGATTCCCCAGTGTTACCATCAAGAACTTGAAAAAACGAATTCGTGAAATTTTTACATTTTCGTATTTTTCTCAATATCCATGCGTCTGGGAGCAAAAGTGCAAGAGAGCAATATTGTTAACCATAAAATTTCGTACAACTTTTGTTCGAAAAGTATCTTTGTAACATGTTCACATTCCCCAGTGTTACCATCAACAACTTGAAAAAACAACGAATTCCTCAAATTTTCATATTTTCGTACTTTTCTCAATATCCATGTATCTGGGAGCAAACGTGCAAGACAGCAATATTGTTAACCATAACATTTTGTACAACTTTTGTTCTAAAAGTTTCTTTGTAACATGCTCAGATTCCCCAGTGTTACCATCAAGAACTTGAAAAAACAACGAATTCCTCAAATTTTTCAAATTTTAAGTTTCTTTTTTCTATTTGGGCAAAATCTCTGTTGCAAGTGAGATAAGAATTGCCACTTACCAGAAACTTTTCATTAGAAACTAGGTAAATGAGCAACATTTACATTCTTGTTTTGCCCAATACAGTTATCACTCCATATAACCAGCTTTTCTTTTAGGGAAATTTGGATGGGAGAAGACTTTCAGCAGATTTCATTTCCACCCCTCCCAGTAATAGACTCATCCCATAGAGTCCCATAATGAGTCAAAGTCGACATTAATTGAAATAGTATTATCTTCACTATCAATATTTGTGAGTTTGCATTGGTGCAGTTCCAGTTTTTGCGCCTCTTGTTTCCTCTCTGGGTTGGTCGACGGAATAGATTAAGATCACCCTTTGAACATGTATTTGGCCTTCCGAATCTGAAATTTGGGAAGTCTTTTTT